CAAGGAACCTCTAGAACAGGAGGAGGGACATCTAACTCAGTTTTGAAGGGTGGAACCTGGGACTGGGAAATGGCAGCAATCATCTATCCAACAGAGCAATCCTGAGAACTTTAACAGAGTGGCAATGAGGAATCTGTGTGTTGGGCTTGAGGAAAGGGAGTGAAGGGAGACAGAAAACTGAGATGCAGGAAGTAAAAAGGACAGGACTTGCCTAAGGGTGGGGATGAGGAAGAAGAAAGAACCAGAGACAGCTCTCATGTTTCCGGCTTGAATTACTGAACAGGTGTTAATTTTATCTTTGACTTGAATCGATAACTCAGTTTTAGGCATATTGGTCTTGAAATGCCTCTGATATATCCATATGTAAATGTCCAAAAGGCAACTGGATATACTGGTTCATAGCTCAGGAGAAATCCAAGGTGGAGATATCTGAATCATCATGGATTTCTGGTTGAAGGAGTGGGTGAGATCATCCGGGAAGATGCTGAGCGAGAAGCCACCCACGGAAACTTCGGGATACTAAGATGCAAAGCACAGGCAAAAGAAAGGATGCTTTAGAAGAAGACTGAGGAGGAGTTGCTATAAAGGAAAGAGAAGCCACATACAGTAGGCACCATGGAAATCAGAGAAGCATTCCAAAAAGCAAGCAGTAGTCAACTGCCAGACCCTTCAGAGGACAAGTGAGATAGTTGAAAGGTATTCTCTGACTTGGCGACAAAGAGATATTGACAAGAGTGGTTTCCAGTGGACCAGGTGAGGAATGAAGCAGAAACAGAAGGTATCAGACTTTCAAAAGTGGAATTGGAAAGGGATGTAGGGAGACAGAGAAGCTATAAGGGAGCAGAGAACTTCAAAGAAGAGAGTAGGTGTTTTTGAAGCAAGATAGGAGACGGAAGATAAAAAGTGGAATGAGGGAGTGGTAGGGAGTTGGTAGCACATGCAATGATTGCCTACTGTTTAACAAAGAATTTTGCTCCGAGAAGAGACAGAGAAGGGTGAAGGCCTGAAAGATACAAACATTACAAATGAAAGAGATAAGGATTAAAGGACTCTGAATAGCACAGGAAGCTAAACGAATATCAGAACCATGGAGTTATGAGCCCGCATGAGGGTATGAATTCTCTCCAAAGGCTTTAGCATCTGGTCTAGAGTAGCAGTACCTTTGGTTGGATCCAGCTGAGCGTCTGAATAGTTTCACCACACCACGAACTTGGCATCACTGTCACCCCAGCCATACATCTGGGTTACACCTCTTTGAGTAGTCAGCAGGTTTAACATGAACATATAAAATATTTTGTAAGTGAGCTTACACTAAGAACTGGTTTGACTAATGTAAAAGGGAGCTCAGGAATACACAGAAGTGGCCGGGGACCAATGACGACTTCAGAGTAACACTGTAACCACTTCTGATACCACCTCTTGGTGAGGAAAACTACAGAAACAATAATTCATGAAACCAGTTTTTAGCCTTTTGAATGAAACTCTCAAGAAGATTAAAGAAAAATCACAGCCTTCACATTTCGTTTCCTGAGTACGTCACTTTAAAAACACCTAGTAAGGTGCCCTTTAGTAAATCAGTCACATGTTTTACAGCTAATTTCATATACTGCAGTTTTTTTCCCCCGACAACATAAGCGGTGAGCTTTACTTCAAGTAAAAATTGCCTACATGAGGCCTCATTTATGTAGACGTCATGTGGATACCTTGAGGACACAGGCCGTATCAGAGCACCCCTAAGAAGCAAAGAGCACCCATGTACCGCAGAACCAGAAGGCCCCAGGTCCGGGCACGAAGGCCTGTACTCATTGTCAGCCTCTAAGTTTCTCGCCCAGGGCCAGTTTACTCTTAACTCTGGACATCAAGTTTGGTGACTGGTTTTCTTTTTAACAAACAGGAAATCAGAAAAAGTAAGTCAGAAGGAGTCAGTGTATCGCTGCTAGAGACAGGCACCCAGCTGATCTAAAACTCAAGAGAGAAAAAAATTTTTTTAAACCCATAAAGAGCAAAAAGGAATTCGAGAAGCATTAGAGGACTGGGCCATTTAATTAAAACACAGGGTCCTGTCAACATTATCCCCGGAAGGCATCTCTTTCTTAAGGCACAGAGTAATTATGAACATACAAAAGGACAATCAGGAGGCACCCAGAAAAGATGCATTCACTGGGAAAATTTTAATTTAAGAAGGAAATGTGTAACATTTAGAGTAACTGTCCTCAAAAAAGATTAGACTAAAAAGAGTTTTGCTGCTGTGGGGGCTGGGGTCCCTATTTCCTGCTAGGTACTATACAAAGTGTTTTACCAATTTGATCTCATTTACTCCTCAAAACACTCACTTTTGGTTGGTCACCACTTTAAAAGGGAGACTGCACTTTAAAACTGAAGTGAAGACAGATTAAACAGCAGAGCCAGGAATTGGACCCAAGTCTATGTGAGTTCAAAGTTCATCATTGCTCTTTTAATAAAATGTCCAGATAATGAAAATATAATTTATGATGCCAGATAAATAAGGAATTACAGTGCATAATTATTCCACTCTGACCTCTATTAAGTTATTAAATTCCTATGTTATCATTCTTAGCCATTTGATAAGACCAATGTCAACGATGCCATTTATCTTTCAAATATTTTTTAGGCCTTCTCATTGTCTATAACCATTCTTCTCATAAGGACATTCATGGATTTCTACTAAAGGCCCCACAGAGTTGATATTTCATAGAATTACTGAAAAGAAATTCTGAGGACACTCTAAATGTTTGATGCAATAAATGTCATTTACTAAATGAATACTTTGTGCCCTTGTGATATGCTAATATGCTCTATATGCATATTATTCATCCATATACATCTGATCTCCACACTCAACATTGAGGTGTTTATATATTTTCATTTTACAGTTTATGTATTTTCATTTAACCAAGGTCCCACAATTGGTTAGGGAGAGACTGAGATTTAAGAGGTCCATTAGATTTCCAGACCAGTGCTCTTAAGGACTTTCTACATGGTTTCTTACTTGAAAGATGACGATATCAAAGTTCAGAGAACTTAAGTAGCCCATCATCACTTAAACAGTAATATGGGTAATAAGGATGGAAACACAGCGTAACCATTCTGCAAACAGTCAAATATTTTCTTTAGACAACACTATCTCCTCCCAAAACAAGATAAAACCAATGTTAAAGACAGAGAAGCTCCAAGATAGCAACAGAGAAAAGAAGAGGGGTCACAAGTGTTAGCCTTCCACGATACCAACTGCTGACTTACACTCAGGGCTTACTGCGTGTCAGGAACTACCCTAAGCATTTTGCTTACAATTATTTAATCCTCAAGACAAATTTAAAAGGCTTAAAGAGGTTAATTAGACTAAACTTAAGGCTAATATTCTTGCACATTTAAATTTTCACATAGAGATGATTACCTAGACTATTTTTTTTAATAGGTTAAAAATTAGGATACGTTGGCTTCTTCAGAAATTACATTACTTGTAATCTAGTGTTCACCTTAAAACTATACATCCCTAGAAATAAAGTGCTATCAGTACATTCATCAGGTACCACATAAGAGACGTGAATGTAGTTTTAGAATGTTGTAAATATTACCTGGATCTCATCACATCATAATTTGCTCTGTTCTGCAATGCTACCATCCTATTTGGATTTATTTAGGTCGCTAAATCATTCCTCATTTAAATAAGCTAGAATATGAAATTTGCAAACCACCAAAAATAGAAATGCTGAGAAGGGATGTTTTCAACTACTATTAAGGGACTCAAACATTTAAAATGTTGAATGAATAATTATGTTTTCCTGTGGTATTTAATAGAATTCTGCTGAAAGACTTTCTGTAAGTTTGTTTGAAATGAATTCAGATTATTGTTACAGATTTTTCTTATTCTCCAAATAAATAATTATGGAATTTATGGCATACATAATAAACACATTTTAAAATTTTTCATATGAATTCACAAGACTTCTATTTTAATCATGGGAAAATACATATAAGAGAAACACACATAAAAGCATTTTCATCTATTTTGTTTTACCAAAACTTAATCTCTAACCAGAAGGCACAAATCAATTGTAATGAGAATAAGAAATTCAGTGTCTTAATCTAAAATGTTGACAATTAAACATACATGTAGGCATTAAAATGGAAAAGCCAAGCCTATTGCCACCTGGTTTGCATGGAAATGGGAGGAGAAAACACAAAAAAGAAAAATCCTAATCCAAGAAGCCGAAACACATCTTTACAACTTTTAGTCCCTAGAAAAAGAGTTACTAATGGATAAGCGCACCACTTTCACTCAGATTTGAAATAGCAAAGGGCAAATTTTCGAATGCGAGAGAGCAAGCTACAAAGAGCACAAAAAATATTTAATCCATTAAGCTCAGTTCATGTAAGTTAAGTATGACAGCAATCTATTTTCCAAATAAAAGCATGTATTCTTCATATAGAGACCTCTGGGTTCTAGAACATTTTCTTATTCCCCTTATTGAAATGTCGTAAACAACCCTGAGTACAATAACTTTAAATATACTTGTTCAATATGGGTACATAAACAAATTAGATGATATGATCAGAACTTATTTCAGAATCATCCTGCTTCAATCAAGAATAAAATAAGTTCTTAAACAACAAGGACCTATTGTAGAGCACAGGGAACTATATTCACTTACTTGTAATGAGCTGCAATGAAAAGAATCTGAAAAAATATGTATATGTGTGTGTGTGTGTGTATGTATATATATATATAACTGAATCACTTCACTGTACACCTGAAACTAACATTGTAAATCTACTACACTTTGATAAAAAAAAAAGAAAATAAATAAATAAATATGTTCTAAATTTGGTGGAAAATTAAGCTTTTGTTTCCTTTATTAACTCTATTTTCTCCTACCTTTGGACAATTTGAAAGCAATGATGTGTTGGATGATCAAGTATTATTTATTTTAAATAACTGAAAAACAATCATTTAAAAAATTCAATTCCAAACTACCTACCCCTTCTTGTTTAGTGAAGAGATTAAGGCAATCACTCAAAGCTTCACAAGTTTCTCTAGAAGCTTCAGAGACAACTTCAACCTTCTGTAGAAATGATGGAAGCATTTCTATAAATAAAAAAATAAATAAAATGAGCGGATTTTAAGTAATCTTAAATGAAGTCCATAAACACATTTTTACATCTACTAATATCATGTTTTCTTCTAGCTGCCTTAAGAAAGCATACAGTACCTTCCTTGGGCATCATTATTAAGCATCTATTGTATGCAGGGCACATAAATTAGTACATAAAAAGGACAAAGCCTTGACCTAGAAAAGGCTACATCCTAAAAGAGCCAGGACTAAAAAGAAAAGGTTTACAGGAATAAGTAATAAAATGTTTAAGGAAAGCAGCTGTCAAGAAGGACTGATATCACCACTTAAAAAATATTAACATTTCCTTCCATGATATATTCTATACTAGATAAATAATTTTATTCAAAGGCAAAGTGCTAAAAAGAGACAACAATAACTGTAGTTGACATGATGGCCAATGTACCTGGAGGCGGCATTAACTCAACTTTCTCTGCTTCTTATTTGGATAAATGTTTGGCATAAATAGGTCTCTCAGTCACAAAAATACGTCCCTGTTGAGGTCTAGTGTCTTTCAATGTATGTTTAAGTTAGGAAAATAAATGATACTATCAGTATCTTCCATGGACCCCTAAAGAAAATCTTAATCCACTTTATTTAAAAAAAAAAAGAAGAAGAAGTAACAGAATGTTGGCAAGAGAAAGCTGCAAAATGCACACACATCACTTAAAAAATCAAGTGAAAGGTCATGTCCCATCCAGATTAATGTGAGAAAAATGTACTTAGTTGAAATAATCTGTGATTTTATTGATTATACATTAGGATCCTTTAAATTGGTCCCTTCCATCAAATAAAAATCAGTAACATTAAGCTTTTTATGAAAAAAACAAATGGAGAAAGACAATCAAATCTGTAGCCTCCTCTGTATTTTAAATAATCTTGATTTACTTAAACACTGTTCTTAAAACATAATAAACAAGGTCAACAAGCAAGAGGAATCAAATAAATCCAAATGTCAGTAATTTGTAATTATTAGGCCCTAAAACAGTGGGTCCCACCAAGAAACAAAAATTTTCAAACGGGAAAGGAAAAGAATAAAGTCTACAGAGAACATATGACAAATTATCTAGCCATTATTTCTACATGATAAAATTGTATTATGCTGCTGTTCTTTTTTAAATTTTCCAAATTTTTTATTTGAATGTGATTTATTTTAGCAAAGACATGTCCTTTTCTTGGAAAACTTCAATTCTCAAAACTCATAAGGCAAAAGTGGGCAACAAAAGGAAAAGGTCAGAGTAAACGAACGTATGAACAATCTTTCATTAATATCTGGACATAAAGAACAAATGACATTTTCTCATATTTTTCATCTTAGGGAATACAGTTTCCCAGTGTTAGGGATCCTTAATAACACCCAAATAATTGAAAGCTATGATATTCTAAAATAAACTTGACTTCATTTTTTCTTTTTGAATCTTTGTTACACATTGTGAGGATTTATTCTGTACTTAGTTGCTAAATAGCAAAAGAGAGTACCATATGCTGGATGCCATATGACTTAAACAGTACCTCAGCAGATGCCTTACACAGAGCTGCAGCCCGGGGACCGCAAGGAGATGCACAAGAAAAAACAGACACAGCCGCTGCCTTCCATCGACTATCGGGGTAATCTAGTCATTTTACACTTTCATAGCACAGAGGATAGGAGATGGAAGCACAGCCATTCATGGATGTGTTTCTTTTATTAAACGCCATCACATGCTAAACCATCTCCAATTCTGTCTCTGTTTTAGATATTTCACACTTAAGATACATGTTGATGAGCATAAATATTAAATGGCAAAATAAATTTTTAGGAGCACAAGTTTTTAAAACAAAACTGATGCTGCAAGCTTTCCAAAGATATTCCAAGAAATATATGTTAAGACAAATTGTTATAAGAATCCATTACTAAGAGAGTGTCAAATTATTCTGTCCAAAACAGAGTCAAAAGTTACCTAACTTCTCAGACAATCCAATGTTCAAACAAGATTTTGGAATGAATATTAACTTGCACAATGGGATGGTGTAAGAAGTATGGACTTTGGCAGATACTCTGGTGCAGTGCAGCTGATCAGGGCCAGTCAGTTCACACCGGCATGTTTCTTATACAGTGAAGTCTACATACAGTTACGTAAAAAAAACTGCTAAGCTTCTAGAAAAGTTATCACCTGGGAATCACTGTAAATATGTTTTAGCCAATTAATATTTGGAAGCTACACTGTAATAAATAAATGCAAAAAGAATCAGGCACTAAATTTTGAAGAAAAAAGTTATTTTTTATACTAAAAATATTGTTGAGCTCAGGAAAGATGCTGGAAGATATGTGAAAAGCTTAACTTTAGAGACATGTATAAAAAGCTCACAATCTGTCGTTTTCATGATAAACACTGTAAAATTTTTAATTGGGTAAGTTTTAAACCTAGTGGGGAAGTACTTGTTTCTTATTAACAAACTAAACCCTAATACAGAAAACCTCCATTGTGCTAATACAGAAACAGTCCATACTCCTTAGACTAACAGTTTAAGTTGCTTCATAAACAGTTTCGGTCAGAATCTTTTCCTGGAAATATTTGTTTTCCTAGAAATATTATTCTAGTTTACTGCTCTGAAGCCTTTGTTAAACATGTTCCCTCTTCCATGAATACTGGAAATCATAATTATTCATATTCAGAAGTTTCCCCATTTAACCAAAACATTCTTCCCCTCCAAGGCCAAGTTCAAATGCCATACTCCCCAAGAAGCCTGCCTTAATCATCACTGTGGGATATGACCTCTCCTATTGGACTCCAAAAGCAGCCACGTTCCCTGTAACAGAGAACATAATCACTGAACGTGTGCTGAACCTCTGCTGTCCTCTGTCAACTCCGATCCTCCTTACCCCCAAAATGCCCTGCACTGAACTTTGTACAAAGACCCAAATATTAAAAGAATAAAGAAAATATTTGATACCATTGGCTTGCATAAAAAACCCACATGGTTTTGGATTATTTAATTTCACATCGGAAGAATTATTGTATTTTAGTTTTAAAAGATTATATTTTCATTTCTATGACTACAGGTTGGCTAGTTACAGTAGATTGATAGATCATTTAAAACTGTTTTCTTATTTGAGGTACAAGAAAATATATTTTGCCTGTTTTTCAACATTTACTCAAATATTTCTATCACTGGGGACAAAATATTTAAAAAAAACTGGATGAATGGCATTTTGTTTCCTTACCCAAGTCCTTCTGGGAACAGTGCTGCCTTAAATGTTTTTTTCTTTTTAAAGTAAACACAGTGGAGAGAATAAACATTCCCCCAAACTAATGATAAAGCCGAAGGTCAGAGGAAATAAAAAATCTTCAAAATAAGACAATTTCTCTTTTGCGGTTAAAAAAAAGTGCAATGCATCTGACTATGTAATTGAGAGACACGACTAACCTGCATGAGAAGAGGTATTTTTAAAACAGATTCACACACAATTGGAATTAGATAGATGCCTCGAGGAAATCTGTACTCTCTCCTCAAAGTGGAGGAAAATATCTGCACATAAAAATCAACTGTTCTTCTAAAACCTACTCCATGAAGCTGTCACTTGGGGAAAAAAAAATCAAGATTGGTAACATTATATAAGTGTAAGAATATAAATTTATCTATTTCTTATTCAAATTAAGATGACTAGCTTTTCAAACAGTCACCCTCAAAACCAGGACCACTGACAATTCTATGTATATATCTACGTCTGCATTACCTACGCTAGATGCAACGGGAAGTATAAAATATATAGTTCAAAACAGCAAGTGTTAAATGAATTAAAGCATGAGTTAAATAAGAATAAAAAAGATAATATCAGGGATATTATAAAATATAAATAGCAAAGTAATTGTGCATACATTAAAATGTTAAATATTTGGAGAAAAGAGCTACCATTATGGGATGGAGTAATCAAATGGAGTTTGGTAAAAGAAATGGGACTTGAGTCAGATCTTGAAGAATAAGTAGTTTCTTATTGCTAAATACAATGCCCAGTAAGACAAAAATATACTATCTGTAACTATATATTAGCACAGAAAATACTGGTCCTCAGAGGATGACAGCCTCAGAATTACAATCAATGATTAACTCGAGAGATGAGAAGATCTGCATGTACCTCGTACTGACTGGCTACCATGTAGTAGGCACTACGCTTGGTGCTGGAGATAAAAGCTTATGTAATGAACTGAGAAACAGCTTTTGTCCTATAAAACTTGCAGTCTAGCAAAGAAAATAGAAAATCAAATAATCACTATTGAATTAACAGTATTGATCAGAGGGAGTCTTTGGAATAGTAGGAGGGAAAGCATGTATTTGTTGGAAAAAAAGAAAATGAATTATGTTTTAAAATGTAGACACAAGAATACCAGTTCAGGAGACCTT